ATACAAAATTTTACAAAAAAACAACGTAACTCTTTTTATAAACTCTAAAGACTATAGGGCAAGAGCCCTTACTCCTCAAAAAAGAAAGCTTAGCTTGTTAAATATAGGCAAGCCACAACAAAAGAAAGCTAAGTTATCAAGTTTGAAAGAAAAAACATTTGTGCTTTCATCAGAAACTGATAATGCAAAGACAACAAAATTTTAGAGACAACTAACAGTGCCAAAGTGAACCAAGATATGAACATCCAGACAAGTTGTCCTACTGACAACACTTCTTTTAACTGGGCCAACATTACAGAAAAAGAACTACAAGGCAGTGAAATATGGGAAGATATTCTCTCTGAACAAACAAAAGCTTGCATCATAACAACTGAAGAAACAAACAACACACGTCAAAACAACAATGATACAGCTGACAAACACATGTCTAACCAAAACAGTCAATCAGGAGACAACAATCAGGGTACTGATCCATTGCCCCAGACTACCATGACTAAGATCCTGCCCCCTAATCCAATGCCATTAGCAAAAAATAGCTCTGCAGGCTCTAATAAGCCATTACAATGGTCCAACCTGTTTCCTAAACTTAAGAGAAGAAAAGCAGTTTTTTTCAAATCAACTACAAGACATAGAATTCATACCAAAAATGATAATGCTCTTATTTTAGACATACAAAGCTTAATCAACATTAACATCAATGATATCATTGCCACTCTTGCTGCCAAAATAGGAGAATACCTAATTGCAGCAAAAGTTCATACAACAAGAGGAAAAAGAACTTCCTTGGAAGTTATCTTAAAGAACAAAGAAAAACTTCAACAATATGCCTCTGAAGGCATTCCATTATTTAAACAAACCCTCTTTGGGTATATACCAGTCAATATTAGATGATCTTTCCTTACAATCAAACTTCACAGAACTCCATTGGGAGACTCAAAATCAATTGAAAACCTTATTCTAGAGGCCTTTAAGGATGTGGGACAAGTTGTCTCTATTAAACCTCTTTTTTATGAAGAAACCACAGTCTGTTCAGACCAGTGGCTAGTCACATTTGAAATAACAGAAGACTCTGAGCTTGCTACTAGACTTTCTAGAAGTACTCACATTGATGACCACAAAGTAACTATAGACTGGAAAGAAGCCCCCAAGGTCTGTTTTTATTGTGAAAAAGAGGGGCATATCAAGAAGAACTGTGAAGAACTTAAAGCCTCTATTCAGATCAGGCAAGAACTTAAAGAGGCTAGGGCACAACTCAAAAGGACACCAACATTAAAATCATCTGTTATAGACAAAGGGTTTAGTAAAGACAACCCTTACATTGATATAAGCTTAAAAGAATCTTGCACAAACACAGCACTAAAACACATCATTACTAAAGAAGATTCATTCAAAAACTCCATCTTAGAACCCAACACATCTGATTTCAGCAGCTCTAGTACAACCAGTACTATTGACCTAGAGCTATCCTCAGAAAATTTTTTTGTTACCACTCATTCTGCCAACTTAGTTACAGAATTAACCAATAACATAAACAGTTCCCAAACTTTGAACCAAGAGATGAACAACACCCCATTCACCATAGTAATTTCCAGAAAACAAAAACTAAAGAACAAGAAGAAAGGTCAGACCGATGGCTTTCATCCATACAGAGAAACAGGAGGTTCACAGCAAAGTGGACCAACAAAGAAAAACTTTTTTAAAAAAAGAAAAATCAAGTATAGCACAACAATTTCTCATTTTATTTCATGATCAAAATTACTACACTTAACATTAAAGGCCTCAATAACAGGCCTAAAGCACAAAAAACTCTTACTTATTAAAATCGTACAATTTAGATATTATAATGTTACAAGAAACCAATCTAAAAGACTCTAATACAAGAAACTTTTTAGCTCAACAATGGGGATTCAACTCATTCTGGTTCTCAAAAACAGCCATACTTACAGAAAACAAAAACATCAAATTAACAATGACCAAGAACTCACACAATGGCTGAGCATCTTCAGCTAAAGCAGAAATTCAACAACAATCATATACTTTTTTCAAAACTGGGCCTTACCCAACATTGATAAAGGTATAAACATTGTAGGAGAAAACTTCAACACAAACCTTGACCCCAACATAAACCAAATTAGTTAGGCAATAGCACAACCAGATCAATCCAGAGGCAAACTAAAAGAACTAATGTCAGACTTCATCGATACAGCTATCTTTTCTAAAGACAAACAATTTCTTACCTTCTACCAAAACACTCAAAACAACCAGAAGCTGGCAACCAGAATAGATTATATTTTTATAAAAGCAAGTTATAGCTATACTTGCAAAAATACATATACTAGCTTTGGCAATTTAGATCACTTCATAGTAATTACTGAACTCAACTTCAAACAATACAATGGGACCCCTTCACTCTGGAGATTCAACCAAAAAAGTTGGGAGAACTCAGAACTTAGAGAAGAAATCTGGAAGGAATTACAAGACATTAAAGATTCTCTAGTTAGGACTGGCACAAATGTGCTATTCAGTCTATAGCTAGAGCATTTAAGCCTAAAATGTCTCCTGAAAAGAAAATACAAAAACTAAACAGAAAACTGTGTAATTTAAAAAATAAGCTAGCTAAAAACCCAAACTTGGAGGAACTAGAACTTATTATTGAAAGCCTCAAACTTCAATTACAAGAAGAACTAACACATCTCTCTGACAAATGGCATCTCAGATCTAACACTAAGTGGATTGAAGAAGATGAAAAATCTACTAAGTACTTTTTCTCTCTATACTACTAGCTGCACAGTAATTCAAGACCCAGAGGCAACAACCAAACAATCTCAAGACCATACTCTTAATTACATCAAAAACTCCTATCAAGAAACCTATAAGACTGAAAACATAGACACAAATGCAACAAACCAACTTCTGGAAAACATTACTCAAATCACTACTAATCAGAATGATACTCTTACTAGCCCAATAACTGAAGATGAAATAAGTCAAGTAATAGACAAGTTACCAAACAACAAATCACCTGGGGCTGATGGACTCACATATGAGTTCTACAAGAATACAAAAGATCTAATCCTCCCAGTTCTAGTAAGGCTCTTTAATAATGTTCTTGATAAAGAACATATTTCTAACTTCTGGAGCACAAGTCTTATAACACTAATTCCCAAGAAAGCAGATGACTTAACTAAAGTCAATAACTGGTGGCCAATCTCACTTGTAAATGCTGATGCCAGAAAATTCTCGTGAATAGACTAAACCCAATATGTGATGCTATAATTGGACCAGAACAACAAGCTTTCATCTCAAAAAGATATATAGCAGACTCAGCTCTTGATGTTCTAATGGTTCTCAGAAATCAAACAGACCAATCTAAGCAACACTGGCTTCTCTTGCTAGACCAGCAAAAAGCCTTTGACAGAGTTAATCACCAGTTTATACAAATAGTTTTAGAAAAAATAAACTTTAACAACAAATTTTCTAAAGTAATTAGATCTCTATTCGAAACACAAAAAGCACACATAATTGACAAAGGAAAAGTCTCTACTGCCTTCTGAGTAGAACAAGAAGTTAGGCAGGGTGATCCTCTTTCTTCACTGCTATATTTTCCCCTTAATAAGCTCAATTTCTCAGAAAATCAGAGGCTCTTCATCAGACTGGATCTTACTGAATGAAATTATAGACAAATATGAAAGGGTCTCCAATGCCTCCATCAACAAGTCCAAAACAATTCTTCTTCCTATTACAGAAAACACATACAGAGTAGAATTATATAAACAATCAGAGTACAAAATAATAGAACAAAGCCAAAACACAATCACTATTCTAAAATACACAATTAACACCAAAGATGAACCTTGCAAAACATTATGGACCAGTACACTCAAGAAGATTAAGAGCAAAATACAGCATTTGTCGCAAAGAAACCTTTCCTTCCAAGGTAAAATCCTGGTCACCAAAACCCTGCTCATATCAAAAATCTGGTATCTTGCCTACCTCCTTTCACCTTCCCAAAAACAATTAAATGAAATTAACACAACAATCATTAATTGGATAAAACATAAGTCCAAAATGCTGCCACAATATTCCACTTTTCAACATAGCTACTAACAAGGCAGTCTAGCAGCCCCAATTTTAAAAGACTTGTTAGACATAAGACTTATTTCTATTCTAATTAAGCTCTTCTCTAGTAACACATTCTGGGCTAAGACAAAAAGAGAAATAACATATCAAAGTCTACAAAGCAAAAGATATCTCAATAACCATGCAAAACCAAAGGTTGGCCAGACAGATAGAAACTATACATAGTAGCTTGGGACCACTTCAAAAGGCAAATTACAGCTAGCAGCACATGGCCCTGGTCACTAGACCAAATCAAAATACAAAACCTTAAAGGTAACCTATTTTCAGTCAAAGAGGCTCTTAAAAGCTTTTACATTAACCAAGAGCCAAAAAAGGCAAACACTGAGAATATAAACCCAAACAAAGACATCCCTACTGTTTACAACTGAATAAAGCTAAAAAATGTTCTTAACAAGAAAAAGGACATCTTTTGGCAATTGTTTCACAGAGCACTTCCTCTTGGCTATCAACTAGTGCACATTAGCCAAAGCGATTCAGGTGATTGCCCTAACTGCCCCTATGTCACTCAAACATTAGAACATTTTAGCTTAAAATGTCCACTGAGTAAAGCAATCTGGAATACAGCATATAATACTTTCAAGTTATCACAAACCTATACTACTCTCTCTACACTCAATGATGTCTTTACAGCCACCAATGTTCATAATTCTAAAGTAAAAAAATCAATAATTTGGCTACATATAACAGTCATATATGAGATTTGGTGCTGGTATACTCAAGCCAAATAGGGAAATAATGTAACTTCCTCAGAAGCCATAGTTAACATAACCAAGCACAAATTAAAATATAAACTTAATTTTACTCCATAAACTTACTCATAGCAGAATTAGTTCAGAATCAAAAGTAGCTAAGAAACTGCTTACCACCTTTAGTACCTCTTTATAACTATACAAACTAATCTCTCTATATATATATGTAAATATAATAACCTTTTGACATAAATAAAAGCATGCTTAGATGCATTTTTTCAAAAAAAAAAACAGTTATTGTAAGCATAAAAAAAAAGTGTAACTTATTTATAGATTTTGTCAGATCTTATTTTCAGATAATAGTCATTTGAGTTAAAATCAAATATAATTGGACTTGCATAATATTGCATATTTAAAGTACATATTATGCAAGTTTAATTTGTTTACATTAAAAAAAAAAGCCCAACAATATAGCAAAATATTGATAGCTTTATTTTTTTATCTGATTATATACAATATACAAAATTATCTTGATACTGAATTTTGTTTTATTGTTATACAAAGAAAAAAGAATGCTGATAATTGTTTGATAACTGTATAGATTAATTTTTTGATTATGTCAAATAAAACAAAATACCTATCAGCATACTGATATTTAATTATTTAAAACCTGATTTTTATAAATTTGACAAAGAAAATACACTTATCAAAACAGATAATAATGATTAAGCAAAGTATAATTATTAAAACAAAAAGTTAACACATAAAAAAACTCTTTCCAGTTTATACCTGAAAACATAGAAAAAACAAAATTAATACACACAACACAACAGTTTACTTTAAAAACTCCAGTGGGCCCAAGGCCCCGATACCCAAAAAGTGAAAACTAACTATGAACAGAACACAACACAAAAAGCCTAAGACAAATTATAGCAAATAAAGAGTCTTTAGCTTTGCAAAAGCAGAAAATAATCAAAGTGAAACTACAAAAAATGACAGTCAGAGAAAAAACACAATGAACAAACTTAACAGCATATTAGAATTAAAAGCTGAGGAACATATAGCAAACTGGGCCAGTCACATAGAAAAAGAAATAGAAATAGAAGCCAAAGGTGGTATCAAAACTGCAGAAACTTCTTCAAGCTGACAAAAAAACAAGCAACTATCAATATCAAAAGCAGCAGAAAAATTC